GAGTTTGCCAATAAATAAAATTATTGGCAGGTTAGATTTGCTTGAAAATTCTGTGTTTGTTTATTAGTTTCGTGTTGCATTTTGCTCCCTGGATTGCTTCTCCCAAGTGGAATATGTTTGATCGTTCTGGTTATCAATTGTTGTTTTAAATTGGGATTCAAATAAGTTCCAACGTTTAGAGAAGTATTGATTATCTCTGTACCATCGAAAGTGCGACTCCACAATTCATGAATATATCGCTGATTATTGCTGAGTCTTTTTTCATGCCTTTCATGGATGATGAGACGTTTTCTTGTTGTGAATTCGTTGTTCTCTGTGGGTTTCAGAAGCTGGTTTTGCACGTTTTTGTCATGAGTTTGATCGGTAGCTGACCGTTTGGTTGTTGTATCTGTTGATGTTGTCAATAACTGATAACGTAAATAACAAAAGTCATCAGAGTTATTGAGCATAGGCAAAATGAAATGTTCGGATAAATATTTACTGAATAATGTACTGAGCCGCCAATCGATATGTCTTGATTGGTACCTATAAGGGTGTGGGTGTGGGTGTGAATTCTCTTAATATATACCCACACCCTGAAAATGAGTATAACTTTTCAAGAAAGTGCTATGCATTCAAAGCCTTTTGATGTTTTTACTATAACATCGTGCAGTATCATAGACGAAAGTTCATTGGAATCCGTGGGGTTCACCTTGGGAAATTCACTATAGTTAGTATACTTTCACAAAAATGTACTTTTTCGATTGAAATACATTCATAGATATATTAATTGTTGTAAAGAGTAAAATAGACAGAGTGTTTAAAAAATTGATTCCAAGCATAAAGGAAAACAGATAGTAATGAATTCGACTGGTCGCTCAGCTAGGTGACTATTTAAATACTACTACTACTAAATGTATCTTTTTTTCGAATTAACTGAATACTGTTGAAATCAAATTGAATGTAAAACCTTTATGTAACTAGTCTGCTTTATATGATTTTTCTTATCCTTGAAAGTTACTTGAATACTATAGAAAAATTGTCATTCAGTATGTACAAATGGGGATGATTTAGAATAATTTGAAATCACGGAGATCGCAGGCTGCCAAGGTTAGATGAGACCAAGACTTTCAATGACTTAAGTGATTGATCAGAGGATTCTTACAAAATTAGTCAGAATTAAGGAGAGTTCCCAAATTGTTTTGAAAATTGATCATCAAAAAGATACAATCACTTTGCTCAAGAAAAACCAAATGTTTTTCGGGAGCCTAGAAATCAAATCCCTGCTGTACGTTTAGAGTAAAAGTACTCCACATCTCAAATGAATTTTTTCCATTTCATCTATATTATTTATGTACTTGAATTCGGATAATGCGTAGTTTTCAATCAATGAAAATCTATTGATTTCCAATGATTAATACCACTACTTGTGAATATGCGTTAACTAAATTGAACATTATGTAAATCGACTTCAATGAAAAGTTATAACCGTTAGAAAATGGCAAGGTTCTAAAGACAGATATAGCAATTTATGAAAAATAACACTACGTGAGACTAGGGGTGGATCATTTACATTAATATAAAATTAAGTTCAATATCATCAATTAGAAATAAATTACGAGTATGAAGTGTTAAGAAGGAAAAACATCTTAAGTTTCATGTTAACTGACACTACTTCAAAGTTTCATTTAGAAAAATGGTTCATCCCTATTCGAGAAAATTTTAGAATAGCTAGGAATATATTGGCATGGTTGCGAATGGATAGGAATGCCCGAATGAGTTTTTCCCCCTGGGATATACTAGTCTGCATTAAAAGAGTTTGAATTGACATTTTCTCCTCTACCATCTGAAGGTCCACTATTCATATTGTAGGCAACTAATCAACTATCTAACATTTGATAAACATATTAGTATGTCATAGCTATTTCAGCACGTCGATTTTGAATCAAATATGTTGCATGTCGTAGAACTGAATAAACAAAATCTAAGCATTCCTTCAACGGAACGAAGATAACTTGGCTTATGTAAGACAGAATAATATTTAATACACACCCACACAACCTTTACTACTACTACTACTACTGATCTAGATAGAAAAGACAGAATGAATTTCACCTCAAAAGCATAACCATGTGAGCAATTGCTAATGACTTCGTAATCATTGTTTGTGCTAGATCAGGAATTTCTTTTCTAATAACTTAACTCGTCGCCTAAAGTAAAAATGAGTTTATTAAATAATAAAAGTACAAGCACACATACTTCTGGTGTAATAAATTTGAATAATGCTTCCTAGAATTAAGAAATAAATCAGATCAACTTAACATTTAAAAGATACAAGCTACACGCCTTGACATGCAGCTGGTCCTGAATGATCTTTTATTGGATCAACATAACAAGTGGAATTCATTGGAATAAACTAAAATATATTTATAATCAGTTATTCATTTGATTTAAGGAATGAATATGTGAAATAAAATCATTTATGCAATAAATTTGCTGAAAATATATAAATATTTGACCATAGGAGAAATAAATAAGTTCTTATCAAGCACGTATACATAATCATAGAGTTCTTCTAAACAAAAACAAACGTAAGAATAAAACATAGTTGATTGTATAACATACGAAATCGATCCTCTAATTTTTGTGTTTTTCTTTTTCCACCATGCAATTCATATAATTTGTTTCTTAGGATTCAAAACTGGATAGAAGTTCAATAATACCTCATTTTATCTACATATGAAAATCATGATAGAATTGAATTTATTTGAGAGGAAAAAGAAATCACCTGCTCAAATTTTCAATTCCTATTGGAGCTTGTTTTACACAGTCATTTTCAGCAATCGATGTTTTATCGCCAATATATATAGTGGTGGTCGAAATACTTTATTTTTATATGTACTAATTCACATTTGATTTTTAGGATTACTTCTTTGACAAGCCGTTAATGTTCTTTAGTTGCTGTTGAACGTAATTGTTGTTCAAGAAGTAAGGTAGACAGAAGAACTTCATGTTGTTGTTTAAGTTCACTATTCGAATTAATATGACGTTGTAATGCAGCATCGGTTTGTTGAGAGAAAAAGTCGATCTGATAATGATTGATTACAACCCGTTAAAATGTTTGTTCAGCAATTTGCGTTAATTCAAGTAATTTCATGTTTTAATTTATCAACTATTTCAAGATTATCTTTAGCATAAATATGAGATACGAATTTATCTTTGTTACGAAGGAAATATGGGCCTTATATGCTCTACGATTGTCACTTGTAATGAATTTACTTCATTTAGTTATTAAAATATTGTCCAAAAAAATAGTATCTCAAGTTTATGCAGAACAGATTGTGATCGGTAAATATCAATTACATTTTTGACCGAATCGATTAACTATAGATTCTAGATTAAAAAAAAATTGATCGGAAAGTCTCTTCTACTAGTCATTATATGATGTCGGAAAGAAAGAAAAACATTGACTGGCATCAACAAATCATTATAGCGTATCATTCTATCAGCTGAGGTAAGTTTCTAGGTTCCATGAAGATTGAAAGAAAGGCAATCTCTATCTGTTGGCTCAGATGAGTAGTAGTGTATATTTACTGATTAAAGACAATATTCTGACTAAACATTCAATCTCACTAAAAGATATATTCTATATGCATTGTAAAAAGAGAAATCTATAGGTTTGGAAGAATTAAAGAATCACACCTAGATCTTCTAAAAATATACGAAAATAAAATGGACACTAGTGTTTCACAGACAACCTTCGAATAAACTAAGACTTCACCCCTCTTTAGGGATAAGACTATATCGATAGTTGGCAAAGATATAAAACAAAATCATTAATTTTTCTGTTGTTGTAATAGTATTATACTTTATTCTGCTCTTTCTCAAATCATACTATCGTTTCGTTTACATGTAAAACACACGTTTATAGGCACAGCCATGATTCACGGTGAAACCACTTGTTTAGTTTCATTCCATTTTTACTTTCACAATTTAGATCAAAATCTGCTAACAAATTACTTCTTTTTTCAAATTTTAACCATTTTCTAGTTGCACTTCGTCTTTTGGGATTAGAAAAATGATCAACACTATCGAAACGACCATTCATAGAAACAAAAGAAAAAAATATAGTCGGCACATTTCTAAAATAATAAGAAAACTGCTCAAACCTAGAATCACTTACATATAATAACATTATCATCAAGAGAAATCATGATTATTCTTTTGAAAAAACAAAATATAACTCAACGGGGGTTTATTATCACAAATTTATGAAGGTCACAAAAATTTAATTCATGAAGATAAATATATTGTCACTTCTACGTGTTTTTTTGAGAAAGCCATTAAAAGAAACCAATTAAAACAGTGAAGTTAATACAAGTTATTTGATACGACTGATAAAGGTCTATGTGCAACTGCTTTGCAATTAAACCCTTATCAACTTGATTGAAACTAATGGTTAATATTTGACTAGTTTTTCATTGTGCACGAGAAATAAAATTTCATATTTTTATACTCAACAATTTCAAAATAATGTCACCATCCTTAATACAAGACGACATAGTATCAATAGTCTATATTGTGCACTACGTGTTGAATAAAGTACAATAGGCTTCTGTTTTTTTTCTTGTTCTGTTCTATTTGGTCAACTTATAATCAAATATACATAGGAAGATATGCATAGACTCTGTTTTTTTCTTTCTTTCTTTCTTCAATTCTTTTTTCTTTATCCCATCTTTTTGTTCTTTATTTCTTTTGCTTTCTCTCATTTTAGTTCGTTTCGCCGTCGAACTATAGTATCAATAAACAGCCCATAGTGCACGACGCCGCGGTGGACAAAAAAAGTCGTGACTCACCTTTCTCTACTCGTTGAGCTGAGAAGAAAGAAAGAGCGGAAAAAAAGCGACAACTATTTTCTTTCGCTTTCTCTTAGCTAACATTGTCGGGTTGATGGCGAGCGAGCAAACACACAGTCAATACTGATGAGGCATCAACCTTGTCATCCGTAGTTAAACGCCTAGACGACGACGATAAAAAACAGAATTCTTCTGTTTCACCTGAGTCATTTCTGATATTCAGGTTCGAATGATTGACCGAATGCCTGTGTTTTAGTCATTGATTAATTATTTTTCTCTTGAGGTTACTAACATGCCACGAAACAGTTCTTTTATTTTTGGTCTATTGACATGCAGAATGACTCAGATAGAAAACAAAATTCTTACACATATATATATTTATGCGCAATCATATGTTAGCATAATCTATTTTAGAGTAGAAGAAAAACAAAATCATGGCAGAACCATCGACAGCTGACTATATATTTAAAATAGTTTTAACGGGTGATTCCGGTGTTGGGAAATCGAATTTGTTATCACGTTTTACTCGCAATGAATTTTCACTGGAAAGTCGTTCGACAATTGGCGTAGAATTTTCCACAAAAGAAGTACAAGTTGATGGGAAAACTATTAAAGTACAAATATGGGATACAGGTAAAATTATTTCGAAGCGTTACTTTTCCGTTCATATTTTTTTTGTTTCATATTCAGCTGGTCAAGAACGATTTATGGCAATAACGAAAGCATACTATCGCAGTGCCGTAGGTGCTCTTGTTGTCTTTGATATTCTCAAAGCATCAACATTCCAAAATCTTGATCAATGGTAATATTAGTTTTTGTTTGCAATTTAAGAATTTTATTTTCATTCGAAATAGGTACAACGAAGTACGAGCTAATGCTGGCATCGATTGTTGTATTATCTTAGTAGGAAATAAATCAGATCAACGACATATACGTGCTGTTCTTTATGATGATGCAAAAAAGTATGCTGAAGCAAGAAATATTCAGTAAGATTGTTTTTTTCCTTTTCGTATGAATTAATTCAATAAATATTTGTTTTTTTAATTTATGTAGATATATTGAAACATCAGCATTAGATTCAACAAATGTTGAGCAAGCATTTCGAACACTTATTGCAGATATATATCGTTGTTGGGCAGCTCGAATGGATTCCATGAAAGAGGAAGCCAATGGTCATGCACTACAGAATACTGTTCAAACAATTCGACCCGGGTACCAAGCAGCTCAAAATACGCAAAATTCGAACTCGTGTTGTGGAAGTTTTGGATAAAATTGCTTTTCTTTTTCAATGTACAGTGTTGGAATGTGCGTGAATCTTTTTTCTCTCTCTCTCGTTTTATTCCTATAAATGATCACAGGAAAGAATCTCGTATAAATACGCGCGTAATAAATGACTTGTGAAAGTGAACATTCATTTTTATGTTTGTCTAGTAAAAGAGAACATCATTGGCTTTGGATTTTATTACCTATTGTTTTTGTTATTGTTTGTTTTATTTATGTAATATCTCGTCCAAACCATACACGATTATCGACACGTACTTACCAGCTAATCACTCCGACGAAAAATACAATTAGTTCACATCCACAAAAACAGCAAAACTATGCATTTAATCAACATGCTAAATATTCAATACTGACATCGCCGTCAGAATATCTATTTGAACAATGTAAAGAACGAACGAAAGAAAAAAACAATAGTTTATCACCTATAGACAAAACAAAATGTAAGAAGAATGCATTGTACTATTCATTAGGGCATAGTAAGATATTTATTAAAATGTTCAGTCACGTATTGGAAACGGAATTTTATTGACAAACATCAATAACTAGATGGATGCAAAACATGATTAACGTTCGTTGGAAGTCTAACAACTCTTTAGCGACAGTAGATTGTTCCTTTTTGTAATGCCAAAAAGGCTCGTTCCTACCTTCTACTGTATTTGAAACTCAATATTTTAAAGTGGCTTGTTCTCTTCAAAACAAAAATCCGTTAAGATGGAAAAATAATTGTAAAGCTCAGATATTTGGATGATTATATAGGGTTTCCTAAATCCCCGTAGGGGTCTATAATCTCAACTCGAACACTGTCCGACAGTTGTAGATATTTCATAGTTAGTATTAATAGAGATTAGCTTTTGCAAACATACTCGACAAGAAAACAATCCATGATAATACTGTTAGTTAATCGCCTAACTATGAAAACATGTTTTGAATCTTGAAAAAGAGTAAATATTTTGTTTTTGTATTTATACAGCTCTTGAAATAAATGATGGATTGAGTGCGTCATGCAATATTGAACGTCCATCTAAATTCTTAAATAATTCAAATGATTCTTCTTTTCACGTCAATCCATATCGATGGAATGAATTGCGTACACCTGTATTAGCCAATTATCCAGATATTATCGATGTTGTTGAAGCACATCGGATCAATACTGAACGAAATCCTCAAATAAAAACACATCCACTATTATCAAATGATATTCTGACAATGATCAATAAAGGTTTCGGTGAATCTGATCCATATTCAACTAATATTAATCTTGGCCGAATATGGTTTTTTCTTGAATATAATCCATATTTGAGACAATTATATTTAACAATAATCAAAGCTCGTAATCTTCGTTCAATAAAATATTCGCAACCAACAACATTTGTTCGAGCAGAAATATTACCAACATTGAATGTAAATTTTTCTACTGATATTATTAAAGAAAATGCCAATCCAGATTATATGACAGACACAACATTTAATATAAATCTGTCAGAATTTGCGCATAATGTATTAAAATTAACAGTACATGAAGTTGATAAAGATGTTTTTCATCTACCTATTGGCACGGTCTATTATCCACTTGATCATTTGTTGATTGCTCAACGTGCGAAAGGACATGCTGTATGGAGAAATTTACTACCAGGTATGCAAATAGAAAGAAAATCGATAGATCACAAAAAAAGAACTTTACAACATTATAGATTACGGAGATCCATCGGCTATCGGTCTTATTCAAATTCGAGCTACAGTTTACTACAATGCTACTGATGAATGTTTAAATATCTATGTTCATTCATTACGTGCAACTGGCATTGTTAAACAAGTATATCATGTGTATGTTCATGCAGCTGTTGCTATACATGATTTTCCTGTTATACCTGAAGAACATATTGAATCATCTCAAATTAAGAAAAATGCTTTTACACATGATAAATATGGTCCTGTGGTTTCGTTGGAACAATGTAATGATACAATTTATGATCAATTGTTTCGATTCAATATTTATAAACATGAATTTAATGATATGACTGTTGTTTTAGATGTATACCGTCGTTCATTGGGTGATCAATTTTTTGATGATATTCTTCTCGGTCGTACTATATTAGTTGCACCAGAAATGCTCGAAAAAAACTCTAAAAATGAAACAGTAGTATCGCCAAATGTAGAACAGGAAATTAAATTGAATTCAATCAATGAAGAAACTCAAAAGAAGAAGAAAACAGGAAAGAAACATTCTCGAAAACGAACAAAATTAAAATCTTGATTGATATAGTATAAAAAACTGACTAATCAGCTGAAATCTAACGGTTGTTTTTCTCATATTTCGTTTTGATTTTAGGTTCTATTCGTGCAAAAATTGAAAAAAACAACATTTTGAATCACGTTTTTTAATTATAATTCTAAAATCATAAACAATTTGAACTTGAATAAAATTGGAAATATCGATTCTATGGAAAAAAAACCCATGATAAATAAGTTTTGGTGGCAACTTGTTATCTGATCAATTTAGGTTTCTGTTTCAGTATAATCAGTATACGTATTCGGATGAGAATGTACAGTCGTGGGTCATGGTAA